TTTTTTTTTTTTTTTTTTGCGCAAAAAGAGACTGAGCCCACGAGAAGAGTGAACCAGCGGTTAACCATCACAAATCCAACATGGCGGACGTGAAAGTAAGTCGTTCTTTGCTTCTCGACAATTTAAGCCCCTTTACGTCTCTCGTTAACGGATATAACACATTTTATTATTCTTTAGTCAAAGAAGAAGAAGAAAGACGAACCTCCGGTTGACAATGATTTGGTGCAGAAGTATGCGAGAGGAGAAAAGGCCCGGACAAAAGTGAGTTGGTCTGATCACGTGGAGTAAACAAGATGGCGATGAATCATCTGAAATGTGTATTTTTTTTGCTTTAGAAAGAGTTTTTGGTCAAGGAAAGACAATATCTTAGTTGCTAAGTGGAATTAAGCCCCTCTTTTTAGTATCTAGATGCGGATTTTGTTTTCAGAGAAAAGGATTTCTTTATCTTCAACTGGATCAGCTGTTCGTTAGTGAAGTATATATGTCTGAAGTATTGCTTCGTTCCAGGGAATAAAAGACAAGAAGCTGAAGGGAATACTAAAGAGCTATGAGAGTCATTACAAAAAGGCTGCAGTACAAGCTGCTAGGGCTGAGCTACTACTTACAGAAGAGCCAGGGTGAGTCAATCACTAGTAAACCAGCTGGTCTGAGGAAAAATTGTGGTTCAGACAAAATCAAAAAACTTTGCAAAGCTGGGGTGTTGAAATTATGCATTTCCAGGCCACTATATGAAAAAAAACGTTTGCTTATGAGCTTTTTGTAACAGTGATGCAATAATAAAAGAGTTTTATATTTTTATTGCAATGGCGGGCATATTCTTATTTTTCACTGGTCATTATTTTCACGGGCTTCATACATGACACCTCCCTTTTGCAGCAACATCTACGTCACTATATCAAATCAGCTAGAATTCTTATACTATACTATCTACTGTAATGGTTGATTCTATATTATGATGACTTAAGTTCACAAGCGCAGTGATAAACAGAATGGCTGGAGATGATGACTAGCCACATCAGACTGACCAAACAATGTGTCCAGTCAAGAAGACAGGTCAAAGAAGTGTTTTGCCAGACAAGTGCTGATTTTTTACAGTCATTGTTCATTGACTGCAGATTTTTTTTAGCTCTGTGAATGAATATTAAAATGAAAAGCAAAACGTTTTGTAATACTAGATCCAATATGTTTTCCAATAATGATGAATATTTTTTATTGATTTTTCACACAATTTCGACCTACAATTATTAGTTATTAATATTAAAATAAAAATGATAAGATAAAAACTGCAAATTCAGGGTAAAAACGTGTTTCGATCCGCACAATCCAGTAAACCAAAGTCCAGTCCATTCCACTCACGCACGGTTCCGGATTTTCCAAAAATGAAAAAACGCTCATAATTCAGAATTTAGAAGCATAAATYAGATTTTAGAKGTTGGGTATGTTTKTGCTATACATGAAGATTGTCTATATCCTTTCAAAAGCTAAAAATTCAAAAAAAAWTTTTTTTCATGAAAAGTGCTGATTTTTGCCAGACATTGTTCATTGACTGGGTATTGCTTTTAACCTTGTGAATGAATATGAAGGAAGGTATTATGCTTTCCCAAAAGAGTATGCATAATGCTTTCTGGTCTAGCTTATAATTTATGATGTTCTCTCATTATTTCCTTATTAATCTTGTGTTTTATTTAGATGTCTGCAAGCGGAAGGGATGGAAAAAACATATAGCTTCAAACAACATGATATTGCTGACGCTGTGGATGTAGCCAGTGCACAAAAAGTAAGTACTACAATAAATGAGAATGATCTTTATTGACTGCTATAGACACAAAAGAAATATCACCGATGCTACAAGAAGTAAGAATGGTCCTTATAGACTACTATAGACAGAAAAGAAATACCACCGATGTTACAATAAAATAAGAATGGTACTCTTAGACTGCTATAGACAGAAAAGAAATACCACCGATGCTATAATAAAATAAGAATGATACTCTTAGACTGCTATAGACAGAAAAGAAATACCACCGATGCTATAATAAAATAAGAATGGTACTCTTAGACTGCTATAGACAGAAAAGAAATANATACCACCGATGCTATAATAAAATAAGAATGGTACTCTTAGACTGCTATAGACAGAAAAGAAATACCACCGATGCTATAATAAAATAAGAATGGTCTTTATCTAATTAATATACCCCAACAAAAATTTGCAAGACCGTATTAACACATGTAAGAATACCATAACTTTACATGTTTTAATATTAGCTAAACAATTCCATTTGAATGTTTTTGTACATATTGTGAAATAAGATTGTTTAACTGTACCTAAATGCTTCATTTTTTTAATATCATAAGCAAAACAATGTGGTAAATGGAGGTATGAAATTTATCTTCTCGTGTTAAAATTCGATATCCCACTCATTTACTGCACTCCTTTGTAAAATATTAATTTGAACACTTGAAGATAAATTCCATATCTCCATGCTCCCATGTCTTATTCTCTATTCTTTATTGTTAATGTTTATTGGTTTTTTTATTTTAGTATTTTGAATTAAAGCTGGATAAGTTTGGACCATATTCAATCAATTACACAAGAAATGGAAGGTTTGTCTTGCACTAATATTAACCGTAAAAGTTTTGAGTCCAGCTAGTAAAGGTTGGTGTTTTCTTGCTATAGGTTTATGTTAATGGGAGGACAGAAAGGACATATTGCTTCAATTGACTGGCAGAACAAAAGACTGGGATGTGAAGTACATGTGAGAGAAACTGTTAGAGATGTGACGTAAGTACCCAGCTTTAACTTTTTGAATTTTATCAATACCCTGAAACAACCTCAGGGCTGATCTAATTCAGGGCATGGCTAACTCACAGATTAAACCCTGAAATAACCTCAGGGCTGATCTAAGTCAGGGCATGGTTGACTCACAGGTTAAACCCTGAAACAACCTCAGGGCTGATCTAAGTCAGGGCATGGCTAACTCACAGATCAAACCCTGAAAAACCTCAGGGCTGATCTAAGTCAGGGCATGGCTAACTCACAGATTAAACCCTGAATCAACCTGTGGGCTGGTCTAAGTCAGGGTATGGCTAACTCACATATTGAACCCTGAAACAACCTGTGGGCTGTGCTAAGTCAGGGCATGGGTAACTCACACATTGAACCCTGAAACAACCTCAGGGGTAATCTAAGTCAGGGCATGGCTAACTCACAGATTAAACCCTGAAACAACCTCAGAGCTGATCTAAGTCATGGATAAATCACAGATCAAACCCTGAAACAACCTCAAAGGAGATCTAATTCGAGGCACTGCTACAATTTAGCTTGTTGTGTTTTGTGAACTGGAGAACCTGAAGAAAATCCCTCAAATCAAGTCAGGGACATAACAAACTCTGCTCACTCACAATGCTGTGTCCAGGAATCAAACCCTAGAGACTTTAGAGTTGAGTGACTATGCAACCCTTGATATTGGACAGTTATTGACTCATGACTCATGCCATGCTGTTTATCAAATAATTCTAATATTCTCCCACATATGCCTAGGTGGCTGCATATTGAAACAATGTTTGCTGTTGCCCAGAAAAAAGCAGTTTATATTTATGATAATAATGGTATTGAGCTGCACTGCTTGAAGAGACATGCTTATGTTAACCACATGGAGTTTCTGCCACATCATTTTCTTCTGTCTACTGTGGTAAGTCAATGGACTTAGTCAATGTGGGTGAAATGTTTCTGCCATATCAGACCATGTGTGCCATTCATGGTTTGGACTCTTCTTTGATAGCTGCCATGCATTTGTATGTCAATGAGCCCAGCTAAAATATCTCTGATTCTGTAACACTGATTGCAGAAAATATTTATTGGTTGTAATATAAGTTTTTATATGACATGAAGATAAAATTGTAGTATTCTTAGAAATAGGTAAAACTTTCGTCTTTAAGAAAATTTAAAAGAGCATTAAAATGTTCTTTTTAAATTAGAAGCTAATTTTTAGGTTAAAATTATATATATATATATATATATATTATATACTTACATATACTTTTATTTTTACTTTTTATTCATTTATCCATTATTAATTTTTTTATTTATATATATTTTCTTTATTGTCTTTTACATATTGTTTTTGATTTTACTTGTGTATTTCTTAATGCATTTCCCTATTGTAAATCACTAATGTGACATAGGTTTACTGTCGAAAGAAAGAAATATTATTATTATTATTACTTAAGTTGTTTGTAAGACAAAATTATGATTGGGCCGAAAAAACTTCTGTGTTGTTTGATTTGCTAATGTTCGAGTCCATGAATTCCCATGAAAGATACAACCACAGAAACAATATAGATGACGTTTAACAAAACATCTGGTACAGATACAAATCTGCCTTATCGATTCAATACCATCTATTCAATATATTTGATCACTGATGATAACTTGTTGTTCTTGTAAGGGGAATTACGGAGTCCTGAGGTATCAAGACACTTCAACTGGCAAATTAGTGTCAGAACACAGAACACGACAGGGTAGATGTGACACCATGACACAAAATCCCTGGAACGCGATCATTCATCTTGGACATCATAATGGTGAGGAAGAATAGTAGTCACAACACTGAGGCATGACGTTTTGATAGTCATGCCCTTGAGAATCATTTCTTTCTTCACCAGAAGTCAATCAAAACAAACAACACCATTTTAAGCCTACCAATTCTATTACAATATTCACTGGTTAAGGTTCAAGTCATTAAGACTTCTTAATAACCGCTTTAGGAACTGTAACACTTTGGAGTCCAAAAGTCAACCAGCCATTAGTGAAGATGCTTTGCCACAAGGGACCTGTACAAGCAATTGCTATTGACAGCAGAGGATTGTAAGTTATTCCATTAATGAGTTTATACACAGTAATAATAATGATCAATAATAGGGCACAGGTTCAAATGCTGTTCAAGACTTGGAGTCTTTAAATTTGCAGCTGCATTAGGTGCTTGTATACTGCAAGGATCTGCTCAATTTGATACATAATAATTTAGTAGAATGATGAAAAGTGTGCAGTAATGCATGGGGTCTTGGCTTTGATTCCTGGACTTGACATCAGATGTGAGTTGAGTTTGTTGGGTCTCTCTTTTTCTGTATATTATTTTCAGTGATTTGTAAAAAAAATTTTTTTTTGACAGATACATGGCTACAACAGGATTAGATGGCCGCATGAAGATGTGGGATGTCAGGACTTACAAACAACTGCACAATTATTTCACATATACACCAGCTAGTACCTTATCTATCAGTCAGCGCGGTCTGTTAGCTGTGGGTTATGGCCCCCATGTACAGGTATTATATATCTTTTAATATTAAATGTAAAATGTATTATAGAAAAAAGTTATATCAATTCCATGCGTAACATATTTTWAAAAATTCTTTATCTTCATAATTGCCATGAATAAGTGGGAGGCTCTTATATATATGGCTTTGTCAATGCCCTTTACATTTTATGACCGGTAAGACTTTACTGGCTGCATATTAAGGCTCTATTAGCAGCAGTAGACATGATAATGATATGATGAATCTATTATCCCCTACAAGCACATATTATTTTATCAGAAACAGATGATAATGCAAAAGATTAAACCAATCAAAATAACGGTCAATTTGTATGTTACCAAAGCCTTTGATTTTTTGTTAGAAAACTGAGAAGGCTTTGAGTATGAGAATGATCCAAGATCCAATAAGTTTATCAATAATGGAAAAAATTATCTTTTTTTTTCACCGAATTTTGATTTACAATTATTAGTTATGAATATTAAAATAAAAATTATAGGATAACAACTGCAAATTCAGGGTAAAAACGTTTTTTGATCCGCACAATCCAGTAAACCGAAGTCCAGTCCATTCCACGCATGCTCGGTTGCGGATTTTCCAAAGAGATAAAAACGCTCGTTATTCAGAATCTAAAAAGATAAATCAGTTGTTAAAGGTTGGGTATGTTTTTGCTATACATTAAGATTATCCATGCCCATTCAAAAGCAAAAAATTCAATTAAAAAAATTTGCTATACAGGATCTAGTATCTAGCATTGACCTAATAGAACACTCAATAGATGTTGGTAACAAATGAAAGTGTCATATGTACTAAAGTGTTTGACTGTTAGCAGATGACCAGCCAAGAAGCAAGGCAATATTGTTTTATTTGGACTAATTTCTAACCTACTATTAATAGTGATTTTTATGATAAGTATAAGTATGGCATTGTTGTAATCAATCTGCAATGAGATAATACTCAACCTACAGCCTCAGTCCTCTGGCTTTTTTAACCAATTATTTCAAAATTAGACAGTTGTGTAGCAAGTTGGGCTTTTTTCCACATTTTTAAAATGATGATAATTTCACAATTTAGAAGTATTTCCAGAAATTCGAGTGCATGTGAGAAGGAAATGTAAACAAAAGTATTGCAAAATGAGTGAAAGAATTGGACCATCAAAGACATTCAATCAATCACCTCCATGTGAAAACCATAAAACCTTGAAAACATTGTGTCTTTACAGCACTCAATAGACCTTGGCAGCACATGAAAGTCTCAAAAGTACTAGTGTTGGATTATTGGTGGATTGGCAGATGAGGAACATGAGGTTTCTTGATCCAAGATCCAATAAGTTTATCAGTAATGGAAAAAAATTATCTTTATTTTAAACACATTTTGAAATACAATTATTAGTTATGAATATTAAAATAAAAATTATAGGATAACAACTGCAAATTCAGGGTTAAAACGTTTTTAGATCCGCACAATCCAGTAAACCGAAGTCCAGTCCAGTCCACGCATGCTCGGTTCCTGATTTTCCAAAGATTAAAAAACGCTCATAATTCAGAATCTAAAAAGATAAATCAGTTTTTAAAGGTTGGGTATGTTTTTGCTATAGAATAAGATTATCCATGCCCTTTCAAAAGCAAAAAAATCATTTTTTTTTTAAATAAAAAATTTTGCCATACAAGATCTATAGCATGGACTGAATAGAACACTCAGTGGACATTGGTAACAAATGGAAGTCTCATACATACTAAAGTGTTTGACTGTTAGCAGATGGCCAGCCAAGAAGCAAGGCAATGATGTTTTATTGGGACTAATTTTTAACATACTATTTATTATAAGTATAAGTATGGCATTGTTGTAATCAATCTGCAATGAGATTATTTTCGGCTTACAGCCTCAGTCCTCCAGATTTTTGAAAACAACCAATATGTTAATTAATATTTATAAATTTGGTCATACATGTTATCCTATTATCTATACTCATTATTGGTATTTTTCTTTAGGTGTGGCAAAACCCTTTTCTAGAGAAACAGAAAATGCCCTACATGACCCATYTARTCCCATCATGCACTGTACATGATCTACAGTTCTGTCCATACGAAGATGTTCTGGGTATTGGCCATTCACAGGGCATCAGCAGTATATTAATACCTGGTAAAGAATCACATRCCCTTCTTTGTCTCTTAATCTTTACCTTTGGCATTACGTTTTCCCACAGACCATGTGTCATTTATTTGAGAATACATAAGATTCTATGTTTGAGTTGTATCCATATTCATGTGTCTTCTCATGTGCAACAGTTAAACAAGGAAATGACACCCTAGGGAATGACACGTGGTCTGAAATGGGAACCCTAACCCTAAAACTATCATGCTCAAGGTAAAGCAGTTTATAAAATGTATAAGAGCATTTTTCATATGGGTGGCAAATGGTATAGCAAATCTGCCATTATACAGTTACCATTCATACCGTAAGTGTAACTACATGCAATGTGGCCACTTCAATGCTATGCCATGTCATAGCATGTAAATGCTGTCAGTCAGTGCCATATGTTTTTCACTGATAAAAAAACAGCCTTTCAATGATGTTCTTTTTATGAATGTGAAGGTGCTGGAGAACCTAACTATGATGCGCTAGAAGCAAACCCATATCAGAACAAGAAACAACGACAAGAATCTGAAGTCAAAGCACTTCTYGATAAAGTATGTTCATTTACATAAATATATACACATATACGTATATACAAGACAAACAATTATGCTAATTTCATGCGTATTGCAGTTTTCCCTTCCTGTGCACACTTTATGCATCATGGCTTTGGCAGGTTGTTAATCTAGGTCGATCGACTTTGCTCTACTCTGCATTTTTACATGTCTATATGCAAATATAATACACATTTCGGAGTACCCAAAATTCTTTTCGGTCTTAGCTTCGATGATATGACCTTCTCGAACCCGACTACGATTTTTTCAATTAGGTGTACATACTACCAAACTCGTGCTATTGGTTGCATTATTCTAATATTTYTTTCTCAGATTCAACCAGAGCTTATATCATTGAACCCAATGGATATTAATAAAGTACGAAAGAAAAAGAAAACCGCATTAGATGATGACGAGGATGATGACGACGATGATAATGAAAAGGTAATCTGATTGGAATCCCTGTGGTAAAAAGTGTACACAGGGAGCCCATGCCAGTAAATTTCCTCTGCTTCTTAGTTTTTMATTAACTTGAATTATTTGGTTGAAGGATGAAGATGATGGAAAATTTGAACCTAAATACAAGAAGAAAGGTAGAAGTTCATCTGCAAAAAGGCATTTAAGAAAGAAGGGTCACACAGAGGAAGAGAAAAGGGTGAGTAAAACTACCTTTTTCTTTCATGTTTTCCTTTTTTAACTTCAAATTCAAATCTTGTTTTTGTGGTTGTTGATGATGATGCCTTTTGATTGATAATGGTTTCTGTCTGTTCTCGTCTGTTTCAGTTACAACTTAGGAAAAAGAAAGTAGAAGAGAGAAAGAAACAGAGAGCAGACAAGACAGAATCTATAAGAAACAGCACATCAGCTTTAGAGAGATTTGCTAAGACACCCAGCACTTAAATCCTTATCCCCTCACTCCATTATTACATTAATGAATTATAAGATAATACTTTAACTTAGAATTGAATTATCTGTGGTTTTTGAAGCGTCTCTCATTYTCTCCTCTCAGTCTTGTTAACGTGAATGAATAGAGGCAGGGTGGGGGTCGCATTAGTACAACAATCGGTTCAGTGTTTCAAGTGTTTGTAGCGAGATATTGTATGTTGGCACTTTCTATGAGGATATCAAACTGTTAAGCTGAATTAGTGTACCAAGGTTAAGCGAACACAAAGCGAACAAAATTTTTTTTCTGTCGATGATCACAGCTGCTTTGTGTGGGATGCTCACTTCTGAAACGGAATTCCTTCGAGTGAATCACCTACGAATCTCTTATATTGACAGCTTTGATGGAAAATACAGAGAAGCGTATAGTATAGCACTAAAGACGATACAAATGAATGCGGGTAATGTAAAAATCTATTCGGAAGTTCTTTTTTGTTTGCAGTAATAGAGAACAGCCTCGTTTCCTTCGGATATTTCTCAAAGGATCAGACTCAAGCACCTCAGTTTTAGACAATAACCTTTGGTAGATATCTTGATCGTTTCAAACCTCTCTGCTWCYTATCTGRAATAGCCACTTCAGTTCGTCAAGTAAAAGTGTAATACTCGTGATAGTACTTCACGTTTAGAGCACTAATGACTAGTGATACCAAAGGAGGCGCACAGCGGTAATAAATCCACCAATGAGATAGTCTTCTCCGTGAGGATCTGGGACCGAAACTGATGACGGCTGCGAAGGAGACTACCAATGAAAACATTTCAAAATATCCTTGAAAGCGTTACGAAAGTTAGTGCTTTGGAAGGCATAGATAAAAGGATTTACACCTGCCTCTGCGAAAAACCCAAAGTAGTARTACGAATAATACTCGTAGGAGTTGGCTGTCGCAATATTAATGATAACTATGATTGCTATAGGGAAGTAAAAGATGGCGAATAACACAGTTACTGTTACAGACATTTTGACCACGTGGATCTGTCGTTTGAGTCTCGCTCTCTGAGATGCTGCTGACATTGACTGTACTGCTACTTTATTCTGCGAGTAAAGTGAGTRAGCGATTTTAAGATAGCAGAAACTGATGATTGCGAAGGACAAAAAACAAAAGACGGTAATTCCGAAGAATTTGTAAATATTGATGAAAGATTCAGATGTGGTATTGTACACAAGGCGACATTCTTTTTCGTCATATCCAGTCATAATATACAAGGGAGAGGTGACGACGAAGCTGCTCAACCAGATACTTATCAATGCTATTCTGAGCGTACGGCCTGTCCATCGCGATCCTGAATGTAACGGTCTTACGACACCATGATACCTTTCTACTGCTAAAACAGTTAAAGTGACAATAGCTCCGGAAGTGGCTGTCACTGAAATGTTATATGATAACAACAGTTTACATAGATAATCTGCCAAAGCTCCTTTTTCTAGCCTGACCATAAACTGGACACACCGCACCAGAAGAAAGAAAAGGGATGTAATATCTGAAATGGCAAGGTTTACTAGAAGAAAGTTAGTAGTTGTACGTAAAGAACGCTTCTTCCAGACTGCGACAACAACTAAGACGTTTCCAACTATGGCTACAAAAGAGATGAGAATAAGAGCAAGGTATAACCAGTCTTTATCGCTTATTATCGCCATCATTAGTATGAAACAATGTCGCAATAACTTGCCAGCATTCCATGCCTGGTCTACTTGCACTGAAAAGAGTTCTGCTTGTTGGAAGGAATTAAGCTGGGGTGGATCGATTTTGATTGGTTAATTGAAGAGGACACGGTCGTGATTGGTTAATTGATGCTGACATCATCTTTTCTACTAACATCTGCTTCTCTTTCTCTCTCGACAAAATATCTTCACTTGTTTTACGTTTTTGCCTTTTGCCGCTCCTTTATAGTTGTTAGTCGTTCAAATATGGCCGAGGGCAGCTCTAGACGAGAGATAATAATCAATCTGTAGTGATCATTCAAAGCATGCTGTTTTCTACCATGGATCCACCCGACACTTCCAGCCATACATCCATTGCCAAGTGAGGCACACAACTCTTCCACATTCAGAAGGTGTTCAGTATTTACGCCACCATTCACATTTACCTTCAAGCCCTCTTCGTGTGTTTGAATGCGATAAAGGCCTGCATGCATAAAGGTGAAAGCTACTAAGTTGCTTCGGCAACACGACTAGAATAGCAAAGATCAAACTTTATAAAACTAAGACCCGCTATCATACAAAAACAAGTTGCAGTTCTGATAGAGAGTTTTAGATTGACTTTTTTTCTTCCCGCAAAAGGCAAACGTGGGCACGTTTTCATCGTTTTCCTGTATTTTACTTTGCCTCTTGCAAACTTTTATAGCACAAACAAATATTCTTCTGTTTTTCTACTACTTGGATTTTGTTGCGATTCATTTTCAGTTATYAAAAAGAATTTTTCACTGATTAACTGACGTTACACGTTTGCCGTGAACGTCAATCTAAAACTCTCTAATGGTATCAATCACCTTGGCTCATCTTGCATTCATTTTGCTCTTCAAACAGGAGCTTAGAGAACTAAAGCAAGTTCTTCTCTCAATGGAGCCCCTCTTGAAGGCGAGAGACTCCATCGGTGTCAAAGTTACTAAGCTTCAGGTTAACGTAGACTTCCCTATAGTATAGATTGCACGACAGCGCACATGGTGAAGAAGCTGAATTGTAACAGGTTTGAGAAAATCCATCCTTGCAACAAAAAAGGAAGGGAGAAGCTACAAAACCTAATGAAACGAATAGTAAAGCTATAAGTGGAGAGGGCCTCGGATTAAGAGCCTTACTTGGGGAAATTATCTTATAAACATTCCGGATTAGTCCTCCTGCAGGGATATCAGGAGTATTTTGCTTGGAAGTGTGAAGAGGARCATGGAAGAACTATTGGCATGCCTGAGGTAGTCTGTGAAAGCTCTCTCAGGGAAAGAGACTCTGCCACAATTTCAATCTAAGATAAACCAACATCTTTTTTCGCCTGGCAAGAAACTATAGCCAGTCGATACACTGATACCAGGGGCAGAACTTAAGATGGGAAGCATGTTTTATACGTTAGTGATATTTTCAAACTACAAACTAGATCTGGTTTCGTTTTCTATAATTAGTGAGCAGTGAGGTTCCTCTAATGCGTAATTTGTACGCCCTCATTATTAGATCTATCTCTGATTGCTTCACGTCAACATTAAATCCATCTCTGATTGGTTCACGCCAGCGTTACATCCATCTCTGATTGGTTCAAGTCAACAATACATCCATCTCTGATTGACCACAAAAAAGATTCCCAATTGTATTACAGAGGTATTTCCGGGGTACAAAKGTGAAAATCTAATATTTCTAATTCTTGAAAGTTTTTTTTGCTCACCGCAAAATCAATAGTCTGCTATTAGTGTCGTCACGCAACGTTCACGGAAGTGTCGTCACGCTCACGTCACTATTAGCGGCTGCGTAGGAGAATACTACGTAGTACAATCAACGGCTCTGCTGACGTGGCCGAGGGTGGATGGGGAATTATTAACGATTAAAGCATTTTCTTATTAAAACTTACTCATCATATTCAAATACTAATACCCAGTTTTGAACACCAGTATGTAACTGGTTTAATTTCTCTGATTTTTATGTTCGCGTTTGACGCATTACACTCTACTATTTTTGAAACCTAGAGAAGTACTTTTCTCCCTCGCATCCGTTTTTAGTGTCGGTCGTCACGGAACGCTCCCTCCCCACAAACTTAATATTCTCTTGTTGAAACCTAATGTTGGGTTACCTGTGCACTGCATGTGGTACACGTGTTTCTCATTTGAAAGAGGAAGAAAACTTCTTTAAAATCTTTAGGAGCCCGAGCGTATTTTCATGGTGAGTCCTTTCTTGTTACATTAAGTAATGAATTGTAGACGAAGAGTGAGCATAACACTTAAATATAGCCGCCATCTTATGTGCATAGAGCTTCAAAGGCATTGATGGTTTGGCGGGGAGGGGATTTGATATGTATATATATTTTACTATTATTTATTATTATTCTATTTTGTATATATTTTATCGAGGGCCACCTGAAAATTATCACTTATGGTAACGGTGTTACCCTGTCTAATAAAGTTGTTATTATTATTATTATTATTATTATTATTATTATTATTACTATTATTTAAGTTAACTAAAGTCGTGGTAAGATACCTTTATAACTTTATAAATTTTAAGACTTCAATATGTTCAATCATTGGTCAAGTTGTTAGTCCTACGGGTCGGTTCGGGTCGCGGGTTTGATTCCTGCGAACAGTAAACAAGATGAATAGGGTTTGATTTGGAGTTGTGTGTTAGTGTTTGAGTTGGAGTTGATGAATAGAATTTGTTCCAAGTATAATGTACTCCCCTTTGCCACGCGGAGGGTTTTATCCGGTTTCTCTGGTTTCTCTGGTTTTAAACACGTCAGAGAGTTTTTACACGTATTTTTGAATGTAGTGGTCCAAGTGTGTCTGTGTGTATGTGAAATAGTGGTCCAAATATTGRAAGTAGTATTCATAATTTTTCACCCACTATAAGAAAGCATTTACTTTAGATATGACGTGTATTAGTAAGGCATAAAACCTTATCTTAGATAAATGCAGCGATATAGTGAGAGAACAATTCCGCTTATGGTGTACGGTAACCTTATATATTTTCACAACTCATTTCTCTTCGCCGGCAAGTGTACGAGAAAGAAATTAACCTGTGATACAATGGCTGTAGAGCGCAGTGATTTTTTTCGTGCTAAACCTACACCCGGGTTCTAAACCCTAAATAAGCGCACATTAGACATAACTGACTTTGACGAATTCGCAAGTTAAAATGTATGCCATTTTGACTAGTTCAGTCGTGACGGCGTCTATATGCTGCACCAGGTGTCTGTCTGTTGTATGGCTGTATATTTCAAGTAACCTCGGATCGGTGTGTGTTCTCGATCACACATTATATTGTATATACCACATGAACATTGTGACCCACTGTGCATGCGCACACTCGCACATAGTATTCTCTTCGGAAAAATTATATTTAAAGAATAAAGGAAATATGCAAGTTGAAGTAAGATAATACAATTAAAGCCTGAAGTAAAAATTCAATGAATTAAACCTTTTTTTGCTGATGTATTAAAGTAAACAGAAACGCTTATGTACAACGTCAACATATTTAGGAAAGACTCATTTTCATAAGACTCGCATCGTGGTTTGAGCCAGATCCATCGAAAAAAAAAACACGCAATAACGCAACGCTTTTTGTTAGACAAAAAGAATAATTCCTGAAATAAAGCACTCGGCCTGACTTTTAGATTAAAAACAAAATCCAGGATTCCTTTTTCAGACGACTTAGCTAATAGTCCGTCGAAGTCGAACTCGTCTTTCTTAATTGAAGTGGCTTCAGACAATCAATTCATCACAACCAATTCACTTCCAAACTCAACAAAATAACAAAGACCTAAACGAAGTAGGTGTTAAAAGGAAAATAAAAGGACGACTTATCATCTTACCAGCTAAATTGGGCATGGGGTAAAACATGGACTGGACTCTTGGACTCTTGGACCCTGGACTCTTGGACTATTCTTTGGACCCATGTTTGAACCATTATATTTTTCATAACTATTGGTCATTATATACATTAGTCTTTTTTTTAATCACTTGTAAGGTTTTTATTTTGCTGCCATATGGCCGCGTTCAAATCAATTTATTTGCATGCATACCGAGCTTGCTTTTATCTCCCATGTGTAAAATGATACTTGACGACAGATTTGTAAAGTATAACTCTAGCTGAAAAAAATAAAAACATTGCTTCGAAAACGGACTACCATTCTTCACGGTCATAAAATAATGTATCTTTTACAACACAATCCTCAGCACTACTGCAACCTCGGATCTTCAAGTCTTTTATATGCTATCTAGATGGCTATACAGAGACCACACAGAG